CAGTCACTGTGGGGACGATGTCATCGATGCATTTATTGATGAAGCCAGTGACTGATGTGGTGTACTCCCCAATGCCATCAGAAGAATCTCGGAACATATTCCAGTCTTTGCTAGCAAAACAGTCCTGTAGCTTAGCATCTGCGTCATCTGACCATTTATTTTTTGACCGAGTCACTTGTGCTTCCTGCTTACGTTTTTGCTTGTAAGCAGGAATCAGGAGGATAGAGTTATGGTCAGATTTGGCAAATGGAGGGCGAGCGAGAGCTTTGTACGCATCTCTGTGTGTGGCGTAAAGGTGGTCTAGAGTTAAAAAAAATTCTCTGATTGTACATTTAACATTCTGGTAGAAATTAGGTAAAACTGATTTAATTTTCCCTGCATTAAAGTCCCCGGCCACTAGGAGTGCCGCCTCTGGATGAGCGTTTCCCTGTTTGCTTATGGCCTTATACAGCTCATTGAGTACGGTCTTAGTGCCAGAATTGGTTTGTGGTGGTAAATGGACAGCTACGAAAAATATAGATGAACTCTCTTGGTAAATTGTGTGGTCTACAGCTTATCATGAGATACTCTACCTCAACTGAGAAAACCTAGAGACTTCCTTAGTATTGGATTTGATGCACCAGCTGTTGTATACAAATATACACAGACCGCCACCCCTTGTCTTACCGGAGGCAGCTGTTCTATCCTGCCGATGCAGTGTATATCCCGCTAGCTGTATGTTATCCATGTCGTCTTCAGCCACGACTCGGTGAAACGTAAGACATTACAGTTTTTAATGTCCCGTTGGTAGGATATCCGTGATCTTAGTTCGTCTATTTTATTATCCAATGATTGTACGTTGGCTAATAGGACTGATGGTAGAGGCAGATTACCCACTCACCATTGGAATCTTATAAGGCACCCCGACCTACATCCCTGATATCTCCGTCTCTTTCTCATGTGAATGACGGGGATTTGGGCCTTGTCCGGTGTCTGAAGAAAATCCTTCGCGTCCGACTTGTTAAAGAAAAAATCTTCGTCCAGTACGAGGTGAGTAATCGCTGTCCTGATATCCAGAAGCTCTTTTCGGTCATAAGAGACGGTGGCAGAAACATTATGTACAAAATAAGTTACAAATAACACAAAACAACACACACAATAGCACAATTGGTTAGGAGCCCGTAAAACGGCAGCCATCTCCTCCGGCGCCATTCAAATGCCATGTGAGGTGAATTTCAAACCCAACCATGTAACCTAAAGGTGAACACATTGATGCAGGAAGTCTGTTTCTACCTCCAGACAATGTGTTGGTATTTCCTGCAGTCATTTCCACTAATAGGCTTAATTATGTGGTCTGATTCATCACCAGCATCAGAATGTCTGATCGATAGAGAGATAGACATCCCTGGGACAGAAATTAAAACTCTCTGCACAGGATTTTATATAATTTGTTTCACTTATAAAATTCACTGAATGTCACTGAATGTGTTAATATTTTGACAGTGTACGTGTGGGAAGGCCTATTGACCTCTAGCATTTGAAAATGTTGCTTTACATGTGTTTTGTGTTCATTCCCACTGGGCACAAACTGGTGAAGTTAGTATTGTTATGTCGAATCTCTGTGGAAAATACATTGGATTTGAAAAAAGTCATCAATCTACACACAATGGCCCATAATGACAAAGCAAAAACAGGTTTTTAGAAATTATAGCAAATGTATGAAACAAATGACATGAGTATTCAGACCCTTTACTCAGTACTTTGTTGAAGCACCTTTGGCAGCGATTACAGCCTCGAGTCTTCTTTGGTATGACGCTACAAGCTTGGCACACCTGTATTTGGGGAGTTTCTCCCATTCTTCTCTGCAGATCGTCTTAAGCTCTCAGGTTGGATGGGGAGCGTCGCTGCACAGCTATTTTCAGGTCTCTCCAGAGATGTTCGATCTGGTTCAAGTCCAGGCTCTGTCTGGGCCACTCAAGGACATTTGATATTTGTCCTGAAGCCACTCCTGCTTTGTCTTGGCTGTGTGCTTAGGGTCGTTGTCCTGTTGGAAGGTGAACCTTCGCCCTAGTCTGAGGTCCTAAGCACTCTGAAGCAGGTTTTCATCAAGGATCTCTCTGCACTTTGCTCCGTTCATGTTTGCCTTAATCCTGACTAGTCTCCCAGTCCCTAACACTGAAAAACATCCCCACAGCATGATGCTGCCACCACCATGCTTCACAGTAGAGATGGTGCCAGGTTTCCTCCAGACGTGACGCTTGGCATTCAGGCCAAAGAGTTCAATCTTGGTTTCATCAGACCAGAGAATCTTGTTTCTCATGGTCTGAGAGTCCTTTAGGTGCCTTTTGGAAAACTACAAGTGGGCTGTCATGTGACTTTTACTTAGGAGTGGCTTCCATCTGGCCACTCTATCATAAAGGCCTGATTGGTGGAGTGCTGCAGAGATGGTTGTTGTTCTGGAAGGTTCTTCCATCTCCACAGAGGAACTCTGGAGCGCTCTCAAAGTGACCATTGGGTTCTTGGTCACCTCCCTGACCAAGGCCATTCTCCCCCGATTGCTGAGTTTGGTTTTCGGAGCAATCTTTTGAATAGTTAGGAAATGTAAAGAGCTTAATCGGCGTTCCAGTGGTGTGTTTGATCCAACACCGGGTAGCGCAAGCTTCCCTCTTATGCGCAAGTGAAGTGAGTTCGGGAAAAAGTGAAACTATGCATCTTATAAATAGTTTTCACATACAAACTTTATATGTCTAAACTCAGAATCAAATAGTCTTCACAACAATAACATGGGCACTGTAGTACAACATTTATTTGTATTAGCAATGTTCAGCATTTATCAAGAGTTCCATCAACAGCCTGAACAACCTCAACGTTAGTACAAGGCTGGACACCTCCTATCCTCATCAACGAGGCCGCCATGGAGACGGTCAATCATTTCAAATTCCTCGGCGTACACCTCACAGAGAAGCCGAAATTGTCTAACCACATGGACACCGTGGTGAAGAAGGCACGACAGTCACTCTTCAACCTCAGGATGCTGAAGAAATTGGGCCTGTCCCCGAGGGCCTTCACAGAGTTCTACAGGAGCACCATCGAGAGCCTACTGTCAGGCTGCATCACAGCCGGGTACGGCAACTCCACCGCCGCAGACCGCAAGGCTCTTCAGAGGGTGGTACGCTCAACCAAACGCACCATTGGGTGCACACAACACCAGGTGTCGCAGGAAGGCCAAGAAGATCATCAGGGACCTCAGCCACCCGAGCCACGGGCTGTTCTCCCCATTTTCATCACTCAGACGCGGGCAGTACAGGAGCATCATGGCCTATAGTTTCTACCCCCAGACCATCAGGCTGCTGAATAGCCACCACTAGTCAGCTACCTTCTCCCCCCTCTCCCCTGCTACTCCACCCCGCCCAATGGACTTTTACTCTGCACCCACCCCAACGACATTCATCACTGCCACAGTTGTAATATGTATATAGTGCTATTTCTACAGTTGTTATATGTATATAGTGCTATTTCTACAGTTGTTATATGTATATAGTGCTATTTCTACAGTTGTTATATGTATATATAGTGCTATTTCTACAGTTGTTATATGTATATAGTGCTGAAGCAGTCATTACTTTGAAGCTATTTCTAATAATGTTGTTTTTTTATTACCATTTTCATTATTTTATTTCACTTAGTCCTACATGTTGGAGCTCCAAGCCAAATATTTTCACTGAACCCTGCAATCACAACTGCAACCCTGTACGTGTGACTACTGTGAAGGTTTCGACAACACAATCACATACATGGATTTTCATTTACACCAACTGGTGTAAAAATCCATTAAATTGATTGTAGAAAGTATTGAAGAATACCAGTGTGCTGTTGGCGTTTCTGTTTTCAAACTGATTAGTAAACTGCCTTTTCAAACTGATTAGTAAACTTCCTTTTCAAACTGATTAGTAAACTGCCTTTTCCCCAAATATTCCAGATGTAAGCATCTACTATTGGAGAAGGGAACTGCATTGGCTTGTATCTGCTCTGTGTGGAGGTCTTCTTGTCACACAGGGCACAGAGAAGAGCTACGTGAGGACACAGTTACATTCATTAGTGGAGACGTGTGCATATTGTGTGTGTGTCACTGAAAGCCAGTCTAAGAAGCGGTAGATCTGTTCTATATGCTCTATTTCTATGCTTTCCTTCTTATGTTTAGTTTTTGCTTCTTTTACTTTCGGTTTTGTACACCAGCTTCAAACAGCTAAAAATATAAATTAATTGTTTATGGAAAATATATTTCCCAGCGGTTTAGATGGTCCAGTGGTTCTCTACACAATTCTTGTTTGTTTTGCCACATAAACTGAAATTAGGCGAACTATTAGAATTTTAGCAAACAGGAAATGGCGGAGCGATTTCTGCACTTTAATACACATATAAGTGAATTTGTCCCAATACTTTTGGTCCCCTAAAATGGGGGGACTATCCACAAAAAGTGCTGTAATTTCTAAATGGTTCACCCGATATGGATGAAAATTCCCTGAAATTAAAGCTGACAGTCTGCACGGTAACATCATAGTTATTGTATAATTTCAAATCCAAAGTGCTAGAGTACAGAGCCAAAACAACAACAAATGTGTCACTGTCCCAAAACCTTTCGAGATCACTGTATATAGTATCTAATAAAGTTAATTCCTGTCCCTCATACTAAATCCTCTTCCTCTTAATTCCCCATAGGAACATGATGCTCCGGACAACGTGCCAGTGAGTTGAAGAGAGAGAGAGCTGAAGGTAAACTCAGAGCCCATAGGAACATGATGCTCCTGACCACGTGCCAGTGAGTTGAAGAGAGAGAGAGCTGAAGGTAAACTCAGAGCCCATAGGAACATGATGCTCCGGACAACGTGCCAGTGAGTTGAAGAGAGAGAGAGCTGAAGGTAAACTCAGAGCCCATAGGAACATGATGCTCCTGACAACGTGCCAGTGAGTTGAAGAGAGAGAGAGCTGAAGGTAAACTCAAAGTTATAAAGATGAACCCTATGGAGGAAATGACAACCATGTCTCTGCCGATGTGGGCTCTGTTCTCCAACTCCAGCCAGCTGTACTATAACCCCAACGTCACTGTGGCCCCTACTTCCCTCACCAAGCCCAAGGCCTGTGAGCAGCTCAACATCGCCACAGAGGTCTTCCTCATCCTGGGTATTATCAGTTTGTTGGAGAACATCCTGGTCATCTGCGCCATCATCAAGAACAAGAACCTCCACTCCCCCATGTACTTCTTTGTGTGTTCCCTGGCCGTGGCCGATATGCTGGTCAGCGTCTCCAACGCCTGGGAGACCATCGTCATCTACCTGCTGACCAACCGGCAGCTCATTGTGGACGACCATTTTATTCGTCAGATGGACAACGTCTTTGATTCCATGATCTGTATATCGGTGGTGGCGTCTATGTGTTCTCTCCTGGCCATCGCTGTGGACCGATATGTGACCATCTTCTACGCTCTGCGTTACCACAGCATCATGACTCATAGAAGGGCCGCTCTCATCATCGGAGCCATCTGGACCTTCTGCACGGGCTGCGGCATCGTCTTTATCATGTACTCCGACACCACCCCCGTCATCATTTGCCTGGTGTCCATGTTCTTCACCATGCTGGTGCTCATGGCCTCGCTGTACAGCCACATGTTCATGCTGGCTCGCTCCCATGTCAAGCGCATCGCGGCTCTGCCAGGGTACAACTCCATCCACCAGAGGGCCAGCATGAAGGGAGCCATCACTCTCACCATCCTCCTGGGAATCTTTATCGTCTGCTGGGCACCTTTCTTCCTCCACCTTATGCTTATGATCTCCTGCCCCAGGAACCTGTACTGTGTGTGCTTCATGTCTCACTTCAACATGTACCTCATCCTCATCATGTGTAACTCTGTGATCGACCCTCTGATCTATGCCTTCAGGAGTCAGGAGATGAGGAAGACCTTTAAGGAGATAATCTGTTGCTACAGCCTGAGGAACGTGTTTGAGTGTCTCCCTGTGTGCTATAAACCTGGAGTGGCATAGAACTCTTACCCTTATAGAGTCTTTGGCCATGGGTCCTACATGTGGCGTAGTCAGCAGGATGTGGGCATGAACAGAGTGCATTGGAGTAGAAGACTGTCTTAAAATGTGTCTTAGACTGCCTTGTCCCCATGCAGTCTGATTAAGCTCAACTTGTAGAACCCTTTGTGCCTTAACACTATAACTGCTAAAGCAGTGATTTTGACCCGATATCCGTCCACCGAATCAAAGCAGTCTTATCAGTCTACTCTGGCCTACTTGGAGTAGGCTACACAGCGAGAGCAGTAATCAGTCTACTCTGGCCTACTTGGAGTAGGCTACACAGCGAGAGCATGCATAATAGTACATGCTGAACGGCTTTCAATATCTGGTAAAATATCTACATTGGGCAGCAGGTGCATGAGTGTCGGAGAATGATGAGACTTGTGGAACCTTACGTTGGCAAGGGAAGAAACGTCACCGTGGACAATTTCTTCACTTCATTGTCATTGGAGAACAAGTTGCTTGTGGCCGGCACCATGGACAAAGGTAGGGTTAGGTTTAGGCACTGATAACCCAACCCATTGTCATTGGAGAACAAGTTGCTTGTGGCCGGCACCATGGACAAAGGTAGGGTTAGGTTTAGGCACTGATAACCCAACCCATTGTCATTGAAGAACAAGTTGCTTGTGGCCGGCACAATGAGCAAAGTTAGACGGGCGCTCCCTCCCTCTGTGCAAAATAAGGCACCTGCACAGCTGTTGTACTCCACAAAGGTGCTGAAGAATGACAAGAAGGACAAGAATGACTACAACCAAACAAAGGTCAAAGTGTGTCAGGAAAGTGAAAGTTAGGAAAACTGTGTCTACTGTTAGGACAAGGGATAACAGCAAAATGAAATCCAACTGATGCCGTTGAGTGAAGATGCACACACGCGCGAGCTGACAATAAATGACTATTTATGACTGCTGTCATATCTACACTTATATTCATTATAATGCCATTATTGCTTTTGTGCTGAGTTTCATTATTTATCAAGGCCGCTTGGCACTTACAATGATGTTGAGGCTGTTGATGTTTTCATAATTTGACCACTTGTCTTGACCATGCGTCTTGGTATTTTGGGATATTTATTTATTCTTTGTTATAAATAGAAGATGTTACCATGTTCCAACACATATGCTTTCTGATTCATAGTTGTAAAAAAAAGGCACTCCACTAATAAAATTGATTGAACACTTGATTTCTTTTTTCTTTTTTTAGTCTCCAGTAAAATAAACGAATGTAAAAGCTCTTGTGTTATTTGAAATAAAATAAAAACAGGGTAACACTTTACCTTACGTGTACATTAATTAATATGTAACTAAATAGTAATACATGTATTTATAACATAGTAGTTACATATAATTACTATGTAATTACACTGTAATAAGGGTTTAGCGATGTAGGTTATTACTGTTAGATTAATTTGTATTTTAAGAATAATGACTAAAGGATTTCACCCCAAATACAGTATAAATGTGTAAACTGTGTTAGAATTATCAACCCACTAACAGAGGGGGGCGGGACTAAACATTCCAGGGTGAAGGAGAAGGTGGAAACTGTTTAAGAAACCCTCCTAAAGGTGGGCGGAGCAAAGTGCCTTTGTGTGTCAAGGGGTATAAAACAGGAGTGTATGGGTTTTGGCGCCAGAGCTCTCCATGAATAAAAATACAGATCATTCTTGCTGGTTGTGGACCTTGAATCATTTATGATTAAAACCAGAGCCTTACAACCTCTGGTAATGATTCAAGCTTAGGTTGAATTAGAGATAGAAATTATCTTAACAATTACACAAGTGGAACAAGGATATGTAATTACAAATCAGCTTGTCGGAGGTTGTTCCACATTTGTTATTACTCATGATTATTGTATATGTAATTACAAGATGTTTTGTTCCAAATGTAACTAACATGTTCTGTAATTACACTTCTGCAGTCTCCTGTGTAGCACCATGTTAACAATGCATCCTAATATGTAACCTTGTTACATGTAACTACAGAAGTCCCTACCACCTAAATAAGCTTGGCTAGGACTCCATCAGCTGTTGTAACAATGAACACCCTGTCATTAACTACAGCTTCAGTTATCTTATTTACATATTATTTGGCTTAAAGGATGTACTGAATTAAATGTAAGAGCAATGTATTTACAATGGATATGCATGGAACTAAAATGTACCTACCCAGGAACAAGCAACTTAATGTAAAGTGAAACACATAATGGTATAACCTTTGTAAATACTATGTACCTGCCTTTGAAATGGGATTTGGGGTTTATTTCTCTGGCTTCAAAGGTAATGTAAGTGAAATCACCTGAGATTGGCCCCCGACTGCTAATCAATCAGTTCTTTATTCTCCAGGCTCCACTTTGTCATCTAAATGGACAATGTTGCAATGAGTGACATGTAACCATGGTGATTTGTCCTGGACTTTCACTGCTGAGGACCTTCCCATTTTGGCCCTAATGTGTCTGTTACGTATTTTTTTACCATCACCTACTGTCCTGGCACTACGTTATGTCCCCCCTCGGGAGTTATTCCCCACGCCTCTTTTACTTGTCTGTCTGCTTCCCCTACTGCATTAGAAAGTTGTATGCAATAGTTAAGCATTGTAACACTCATAATGTGTACGTCTGCCTTTCTCAAATCTAACATGCCTGGTAGTGACATGGGTCGACCTGTGACGACCTCAAATGGACTCAACCCTGTGGTTTTGTTATGAGTGTCCTGTATAAGACAGAAGACTGTAGGCAATGCATCTGGCCATGCTATCACTTATTGATGCATCTTTGAAAGTCTTTCTTTCAAAACTCTATTTGTGCATTCTACCTGACCACTCGATCGAGGATGGCAAGGGCAGTGTAGATGCCAGTCTATGTTCAGAAGACGAGCTACCTCCTGAAATGAGTGTCTTGGTCGGAATCTAGTTGTTCTGGAAATCCCCATCAGGGAAAGATTTCTTGAATCAGAATTTTAGCTGTGTGTTGTGCAGTTCCTTTCTTAGTAGGGTAGGCTTCAACCCATCATGAGAAACGATCAACAACGACCAGCACATCTTCCTGTCCTTTACATTTGGGCATTGTGATGTAGTCAAGCTGTAGATGTCTGAAGGGTCCTGATGGGGCAGGCGCTCGTCTGAAGGGTCCTGGTGGGGCAGGCGCTCGTCTGAAGGGTCCTGGCGCTCGTCTGTACTTTCACTTGTCCCTTGGTGGTGTTTTCTATACAAAAGTAGCAATTTGCCACGACAGCCTCAGCCTCTTTCCGCAGACCAGGATTCCGCCATTTGCCCACAAAGCGATAAACTATCTTGCCCACACCAATGTGTCCCAAAGAGTTGATCTGTGTCACCAAGTATGGTAAGAGTGCATTTGGCACTAAACATCTCAGGTTGTATTTCCACTCACCTTCTTGACTGAGTTTGCACCCTTCAGCCATCCATTCCCACACTTCATCTGTTGGTGCATTACTATGCATGTCTCTAATGTGTTGCAATGTATCCAATGTGTATTTCCTAATCAGTTTAGGTGACAGAGGTGTTCGCCTGGCAGCCGCTTTGGCAGCTCTGTCAGCCAGGTCATTACCTTTACTCTCGTCTGTAAAGATCTTTCCATGTGCTTTCATTTTCAAAATTGCAACTTGTGCAGGTAACTGAAGATAATTCAGTAGAGCCATCACCTCTGGTCCATTCTTCATAGGATCTCCCAGTGATGTCAGGAATCCTCTGTTTTTCCATATTTTCCATATCCAAGATCATGGGTACCTTGAGTCTGTGTAGATATTAGCTGTTTTTCCTTCAGCCTTTTTGCATGCTTCTGTCAAAGCCACCAGTTCCGCCACCTGTGCTGATGTTCCTGCAGGTAACGTGCCTGTCACTATCACATTGTCCATTGTAGTAATATAGTAGCCCAGCCTGCCTTCCTCTCCCCCCCTCCACAATGCTTGAACCGTCTGTGTATAAGATCAACTCAGGGTTTTCCAACGGATGACTTTTAATAAACACATCAGAGAGCTGATCCAAAACCAACTCACAACAGTTGTGTTCAAGTAATGTGATGTCTGGAGGAAGCATCAGAGTGGCTGGATTAGATGGTGTGCCATGTTGTATGATGATGTTAGGAGCCTCCAACACAGTCGACCACTTGTCCCAACGAGCAGCTGTGACCTGCGCAGCTCGATTAATTGTTAAAAGAGTATGAACAGCATGTGGATTTGATGGTAGGATGTTGGTCGAGGACAAGCAATGCCACCATCTACACCGTGGCATAAGTAGCCTGCATAGCTCTGAGACAGGGGCCCCATCCCAACACCCCATCCCAACACCCCATCCCAACACCCCATCATCCAGTTTCAACGAATAGTAGCCTACAGGTTTCTGACAATCACCATGGTCTTGTGTCAGGACAGAGGTCATGTAGCCATCTTTTTCAGCCACAAAGAGGGTGAACGGTTGTCCTGAGTCCGGAATGTCCAAAGGCGTCACTGATGACAGCGCTAGTTTAAGCTTGCCTAAAGCCTATTTCTGTTCTTCCGTGAAGGCTACAGGGATCTCCCTTGAGGAGGTCGTTAAGGGGTTGTGCAATTTCGGCAATGGAGTCCATCCAATTGGAGTCCTATTCCACTGATACTGTTGACCAAGCCATGGACGGACCTCCGGATGAAAGGGTACCGACCAGAACCTGTTAGCTATATCAATGACAGAGAACACAGAGTGAGCAGGTGACAACGAGGAAAAAAATGGTTGAGGGGTCAGCCACCAGTGGAGTGAGCTTGGAGATGGCTTCATTTGCATTCCTGTAGTCCACTGTCACCCGCCAGTCACCATTTGATTTCCTCACTGGCCATACCGAGCTATTAGAGGCATAGTGTGTCCTTTCAACAATACAAGTCACATAGATCTCTAATCACTACTTTAGTAGCGGCCATAGCTTCCTTGCTGTTGGGATATTGTTTTGTGCAAGGTGGGGCAACACCTGTCAAGCACACT